AATGCTCATTACCCACCTTGCAAGCCAGTCTGTGAGGACACAATTTACCAAAGCCAAGAGGCGGTGAGATCTTTCGAAGAAGTGTCACAACATCGAGATGTTTTATCCTTCCTAAAAAAAACTCTTAGGAATGCACCTACGGTGCGTTACAAGGTAAGCTTACCTTTAGCATCGGGATCATACTCAGACCATAGGCGGACGAACTCTTCCAGATGGTGTGGACCGAGAATTGACCAATCTCTAGTTAAGTAGTCAAAGTTGTCCATGATGACAGCCACAAACAAATTGATGACCTAAACTTTCAAATGACAGATTTTTCAAACAAGACAAAAGAAAGAGGGTTTTTGTTTGTTGTTAAACAAATATTTGGAATCAAAGAAAATTTGACCCTTTATGGATTATGGTAATGAAGGGTTCTATTATTTCGTTATCTGATCAGCCTAAATGAGTGATAGTAGCAGCAAGATGATGGCTATTTTTGCTTCTTTAGTTATCTGATATATCTCGTCTGTGTAGCTGTGCTATTAATCAAACATCTTCAATTTAACAGATATAAATCCATCAGTGCATAGTAATGAGCTCATCAGCAGAAAATATAAATCAGCAGATGAGTGACACATCGAGATTCTCAATGATCTCAGCTACCACAATTACTACTCTGCGCGAAACGACGTACCAGGAAGGAGCAGAGCATGAAGAATGAGATGAAGTACGGGTAGGCAAAGTTGACACCGCAGCGAGCTTCTCTATCACGTTTATAGTCATCTGATAGTGGATCACATCGTACATCTTCACGATCCGAGCAAGACAACATAACCTCTTGCCAGGCTTCACCGGTAGCAGACCTGTGGAAGAAATTTACTCTTATGCATTTCATTCCAAATTAATCGTTACCTGAACAAAACCAGCACAGCAGCGAAGAACGAATGAAAGTTGTTGTTTCGATGTATTTGTGTAGCGTCATCCAGTGCCACCTTGCCGAAAACCTACCAAGAAAAAAATTTCGAGGTTTCAGCAGAAAACACACAGAGCATTTATTACATAGAAATTAGGAAGATGAAAGCTTTTGAAAACCCATACCTGCATACCGATTACGGCATAGATGAAGAAAAGCAGCACGATCAACAATGCTACATACGGCAGAGCCTTAAAATATAGAAACAGTTGAAGTACTTCGACTGAGCGCGCTTTTTGTTTGATGTGGCAAATAAGGTGAGCCAGAAAATTTGGCTAAAAATTTGAGCTAAAAAAATTATAGGCTACTGAAGACCAGAGCTGCTA